GAAGTTAGGGGGCAACACACAAGACCACCCTTGCTTCTGACACCAAATGCAAGTTCAGGATTCCCAGACCATTCTTAGGATGGGTAATTCACTAGAAGGACTCACAGAAATCACTGGAAGCTGATATACTCACAGTCATGGTTTGGGATGCAGATTAGGTCAGGTTAAAATATGCAGATTAAAATTAACCAAGGGAAGAGGCATATAGGGAAGAGCCTAGGAAAGTTCCAAACACAGAGCTCCTAATAGTCCTCTCTTCTTGGACATCATTACTGTCCCAGCAATAACATATGATAGTACACATAAAATTTTGCCAACCAGGGGAAGATCACCCATACCCTGGTGTGCCCAGTCTTTACTGAGACTCTATGGTTGACTGCCCACATGGCTAACTTCAGTTTCTGTCTCCTTCAGAAGTCAAGTTAAATCCATTTGACTCAAAGCTCCTAGCACAAATTACATTATTAGAATGTCTGGGTGGCCCACAGGTCCCAATCATACATAGACACTCCTATCAACCATGCCATTTTGCCAGGTGCAGTGATGCAAATCTGTAACCCCAGTGACTTCAGAGGCTGAGGCAGGAGAACTTGCCATCAAGTTCAAGGCCAGCTTGGGCAATGTAGTGAGGTTCTAAGTAACTTAGTAAGACCCTGTTTCAAAATAAAAAAATTTAAAAAGCGCTGGGGATGTAGCTTAGGGGAAAAATACCCCTGGGTTCAATCCTCAGTACCTAAATAAATAAATAAATATCTAAGGTTTTTGCAAGAACACTGTTTTCACTTGCGCATACTTTCTGGAATAGGGATTCAGAGGCCCAGTTATAGATATGGCGCCAAGATGCAAATTTGAACATCAGCTTTCAGGCATGCTATTATTTCAGTGTTGCTACAAGTATAAGCATAGATTAGCATCAAACTCCAGTAGAAATATGTAATTATAATTATTTTATGTGACTAAATTGGGGAATCTAAGTAAGGTGATAGATTTTAAAGTATCCTTAACTTTGGTTGCCCCCAAAGATCAAACTCCTTTCAGTTTCACCATCCTCCAGCCCATTCCAGACTCCTGGCTCCTCATTCTTTTGACCATTATGAAAATAAGTGGCTTATTCATCTGAACTCCAAGTTTCACTCCATTTTGACACCTTCCAAGATGGCTGAAGTCCAATAGGCCTAAATGTTCAGTTACTAGGGGCTTGGGTTGCATGTAATGAAAACTAATACAATAAATTTGGACAAAAAATGGTACACAGACATGCATAAAGACAGAATTCCATATGGAGATGAAGACAGAAATCAGGATGATGCATCAAAGCCAAAGAATGCCAAATAGTAACAATAAAACACCAGAAAGTAGAAAAGATGTAGAGAACAGATTTCTCCCTCCCAGCCCTCAGAAGTAATCACCCTGCTGATACTTTGATATCAGACTCCCAGCCTCCAGAACTGTAAGACAATAGATTTTTGTTTTTAAGACACTCCATTTGTGTTATGTTATTTTGATAGTCCCTGAATTCAAACCCAGGCCTGTCATGACCCAAAGCTGATGCTATGGCTATGATATTGCACTGTCACTCCTACCAACTGTCCATCAATACTTTCTTGGTGACTCCACCACATTACAATTCTTCCCCTGGATTGAACTGAGCTCCCCTCCGGTACATTTTTATGTGCTTCATATTTTTTCTACTACTATTTGCTTTATATTGCTATTTAATTTAAATGAGTATATTTTGTTTCTTTCCCTAAGTGTATTATCAACCTCCTAAAACCACAGAAGTACTCAAAGAGCCTGGAGCCATGTACCTCCATTCTGGAGGTGCACACAAAAGCTGGTCTTATTTTTCAGTCACGGGCAGATGTTTTTATTGACCTTTTGTCACCTCGCACATTGTTATGTACAGTAATCTACTCCAACCGATAAACCCTTCCCATTTGTTAAGATCCCAAATGTAGGGGTTGAATAACCAGGTATGAGATTAGAGGACCAGGATAGGGGTAATCAGAGATGAACATACCTACTTCTGGGGCATCTTAGGTTACAATTTTAAGGTTGATAAGAACTATCAGAATTTCACAAAGACTTTCTCTTTTATAATGTACAGAACATTTGCCAAAGTGCTGATATTAGATAGTGTTCTATATATGCACAAATCATAATATTTTCTAATCAGCTTATATCTTCTGTGTACAGAAAGTTTTTAATATGTCATAACACAAGGAAAGAATCAAGCATAAAATAAATTAACAATGTTTTACGTTTAAAGAATAACACTAAGTTTGTCTATACAAAGTGATTTGGCAAATGTTTTTTAAAAATATCAAATACAGGCAGAAAACTACCACAGCAGACAAACTTAGAAAACTGAGGGATACTTTTTAGAGCCAGAATTAAGTAGATAATTCCTTTAGAGGAAATTGTGTAAATGAGTACCCACTGGTGAAATAAAATAAATCTGATCCTAAGAGATAAAGATAACTGGCACACAGGAGGTAATGACCCCACAGAGACTTCCTGCATCCACCCTAGGGCTGATTTTTCTAATACAACAGGAGTAAAGGGTACGTGGGAGGGTACAATTATTCCAGTGCTCATTTTTTCTGTTTCCAAACTCTTGGCTTAGAATTTTCAAGCTCTTGTTTGGAACCACAATATGGAATTTGAGAAGAAAGAAGTTGGGGAGAACACACCTCAGTGAGGACTGTGTCTGTTCACTCACCCACAGGGGAGTTCTGGCACTTCCCCAGCAGCTCATCCTGTTAGGACACCAGGAGTGTGAAGTCATCACATGACATGGGAAGACAGGAATGTGGAATTACCTTGCTGTGGTCCATTGCGATGGTGTGAGAGAGCACCTAGAATATTCTTCCCTCATGGATGAGTGTTTTCTTTTGTGTAGAATGAAAGGTTAGCCACTTAATTTTCTTTGAAGATCTCAGAAATGAGAAAGCTCTTCAATTTAGTTAGGGCACTAAGATGTTTTATATAATAAATAATTTTCTTAAGCCTGCAAAATCTTTCTTCTGCATATAAAACCTACCTAGAATTCTTAATTGACATTTTCTGTTTCTTTTTAATACCTATGAAACGTTTAAGGAATCCTGTGTGTAAGTAAGATCCCAGCATTTCCTCGCCTCTCCATAGCTGCAGATTTTTGAGCAGGGTAACCTTAAAGCCAACTTAGTTTAGTGAACATAAGTAATTTCAGATATGGAGTCAAGTGACCCCAGTTCAAATTTCATTAGCCTGTGACCTTGACCAAACCAAGCATCTTTCCACATCTCATATCTTTATTCACAAAAAGGGGAAAAAATACCTGTCTCTATTTACCTGTAGGATTGTAGTAAGCCCAAGTTAAAAAGAATGCAAAAGTGCTGTTTTAGTCATACCTCTGTAGCAGGATTTTTCATGGTATTGTAAGTTTTTGTGGCCTTTCTTCTTTATGAGTCAGAATAACTACTCTTGAGATTTTTTTCACTTGTTTTCTTCAATTCTTTTTCTAGAATATGTACACAAGTGTTTGTGAATGTATAGATTTACCTTATTACACATAAGTATTTATTATGATACAAGAATGTGTCATGAACTCAATGTTTACCTATTTTATAAAAGTACATAATTTAAATGTGTTATAATAAAATTACATATTATTTTACTTGCATGTATCATATATGCATATAGATTAATAAAAGTTTTTCTGAAATATGGTTATTAACAGCTTAACCTAAGTCCATTATACATAATATACAACAAAACATGATGTATAGGCATATATAATTTTACGATATCAAAAATTATTTCCAAACATGGTTAAAATTGGTTGCTTTAAAAAAGTATGGTAGTTAATGATTCTATAACATGAGTTAACCATAATTTATTTGATCATTCCCATATTTAGCTAATAAAAAATACTTATTCCAAGCTTCTTATTTTTAATCTTCCTTTATTTTTTGTTGACATTACCGGGTCTATTTGCTATCAGAAAATATCTTTATGCAAAAACCTGTAGTTCCATAGGGAAGATTTCTAGACTGAAACCACTGGAATAATGGGTATGGACTTTTCTAAGCTCCTTGCTAACTAACATATTGTCAGACCGTTTCTGAACTATTGTACTATTTAAACAATGTAAGAGAGAATTAAAGTTATGATAGCCTTGTTGGAAGTATTACCTATTTCAATCATGATTGATTTTATGGGCCAAAAATAGTATCTTTTTTTATTTCTTTCTGTATGATTACATGACTACTTGTCATGTTCATTGATTTTTTATTTCTGCCTTTAATTATTTCTTTCTATCTTTGCTTCATTTTCTTTTCTTTTGTGTGTGTACATGCATGCACACATGCATGAACCCAGGGACACTGTACCACTTAGCTGCATCCCCAGCCCTTTTTATTTTTGGCAAATGGATTAAGCTGACCTGGAACTTTCAATGTTCCTGCCTGGACCTCCCAGATCATTGGGATTACAGGCATATGCCACACAATTGGCTGTCTGCTCCATTTTCAGTGTTTTCCTTATTGATTTATGTTATTTATACTAAAGGAAATTAATTTCTCTTTTATGATAACTCATAATTTTTCCAAATTTTTCATATGAATTTTCAGATTGTTTATGAATTGTGACATTGTGTTTTGAGTTTTTGAAAATCAAATTTACTAGCCAATTTCTTTCATTGCTTTTCTTTTTTTATACTTTGTGAACTAAGTAGAGGAAATCTCTACTATATATCAACTCATTCTTTCAATTAAAAAAATAGTTCCTACATTCAAAAACTCAGCAATCTAGATTAAAGTTAAAAACTGATGAGACTGATTATTGCCATTCTGTTAGAAGTCCATTTGAAATCATCAGCCAGGAGTGTATTAAGTATCTCTGGTGAAGGAGGACTTGGCACTGACCCAGACACAGCTCTATTAATAGGCAATACAGTTATCTCTTCTGCTGTGGCATTTAGCCAATGGCAAGAACCCAGAAATTCTAACACTTGGAAAGAAGATTTGCATTGGGGCATCTGCATGTCTAAGGGGTCAGGCTCAGGGTTAGTTGACACCAGGGCGAGGATGGAAACAGGGAAGAGGACAATACCAGAATCAGTCCTGATGGCAGTTTGCAAATTTCAAGACACAGAAGCTTTTTAGAAAGGTGAGTCTAAAAGGGGTTCAATTGACCCAGTTCTATGTTCTCTCACTATTCTCCTACTGCACTGAACACCTTTCTGAGTAAAGGCTGCCTTATATTTAAATCCTATGCTTCTGTCTTTAGAAATATTCTTCAGCAGGCAAAATTGCCTCCTCAGCAGCATAAAATTAATCATAGCTGATAATATTAATAATTAACACCAATTAAACTCTTACTATGGTTCAGACCTAGTTCCAACACTTTCATATTCATTGAAGTTTTGAAAGCCCTTTGAACTTATAGAAACTATAATTTTCTCCATTTTATAGTCGGAGAAACTGAAGCTGAGAGAAGTTCAGTAGTTTGTCCAAGGTTGAGCCAGTGTTCAAAACCAGACAGCCTGGTTCCAGAGTTGTCACCCTTACAATTTTCTATGCTATTCTATATTTTTCTACATTTGCTAATAAAATTTTTGAGAATAAGTATTAATTTTAATTTATATATGTGGAAAGGTATATATATATATATATATATATATATATATATATATATACACACACACACACACATACACATATGTAGAAGAAAGGTATGTAAATATGATTTGCTCATGTATCTGTTTATTTTTTATTCTGGTCAATGAAGAGGGAGAATTGGAAAATAATTTTAAAATTCTTGGTCATCTAGGTCTCTGACTTCCCCACTTTCTGATGCCTCTACTAGAATATAAAGAATAAAACAAAGGAAAAACACAAACATGGCAATTTTGCTACAGTTTGAAGTTAATTCTTCTTGGGATTGATTTAGAAGACAGAGAGATTAAATAGAAGGTTGAAAGTCAGATCAATTTTAGATACCTTCCTAATCTATTCCCACCCTCATGGGGACTTCCCTGCCTGCAAACTTCTTTGAGCAGACAGCAGACTGTGCATTGGTGAATTTCCAGTAGCAACACAAGTTGAGCTATATTCAAGTGCAACTTCCAGCATAGTAGATGGACACTTGTCTCTGAAGTCTTTTCTCTTCCCACCAGGTTCCCCTGCTTTCTCATGGCTGTAATTTCAGAACTATTGGTGGTCCAGTCACTGCATGGGGCCCAGAGAGTAAACAAAAGAGACCACCACACTGCCATCAAACTGTTTCTCATCTCATTCTCTCTACTCACCCTCCACAGCACTGTAGACTGGTATTTTTAATGTGAATACAGTCACCTCCCTCCCCTTAAAATTCTTCCATAGATTCTCATCTCCTATGGGATAAATTCTAACCTCCGTAACTTGTAACTGTGTATAAGACCCTTGAGGATTTAGCTCCACCTGCCTGTTCATCCCCTTTCTGTCCTCCTGCCTTGAAGTTTACATACAGGCTCCATGACCGAGTTGCATGTCTTCAAAAATGCTTTGCTCTCTTACACAAATATGCTTTGCCTGTTGTGTTTCTTCTGCTGGAATATCCCCCACCTACTGTCACTCCCATAAGCATACCCTTAAATGATTACAACTTTGGATCTTATTTTAAATACTGCCTCCAATGTGAAGTCTCCTGATGCTTTTAAGTGATTCATATAAACTAATTGTGTACTAAACCTGCCCCCATGTGCATTCCTCACATTGTGTGGTAGAGCTCATTATGTGTCTGCCACCCATCTGAATGATGAGCTCCTTACAGTGGGAAAATTCTATTTTTTACCATTAATTATCACCAGCTAGCCAGGCTGGTGACCTGAGCTGGGTTCACAAGAGCTGGCTACATCAGTTACTAGAAAAATGGTGAAGGAGCACACAACACAGAGAAATACCTTTTGCTTGCAGGAATCAGGGATGGCTGTCAACCTTAAGGGTCCCTTGGAAAGAGACAGAGAGCACACCTGAAACCATTGAGGGGAAGACATTCAAGAAAGTTCAACCCAAATGAGGCAAGGTATTGAGTTTCAGGAGGGTATAGCCCAGTCCCATTGGGTGACGCCCACTCCCAAAGCTTCACTCACCTGTCAAGCAAAATGAGGTCCACCTGCTTTTGCGCACAGCCTAAGCCAGGTCCATACCACCATCACCCAAGGCTAAGGGTACATGCTTATCTCCTATGTGGCAGCTCCCAACAGTTAATAAATTAATAGATAGGTAGATTAATCCAATAAGGAATGGATGGATGGCTCAATGAAAGAATAGATGAATAATATGTTTTATACAGTGATGATTTCTTATATCATTCTTAAAAAATTGCAAAGAATCTCATTATGTACATTCTCACTTAAACAAAATAACAAATCTCTGAAATGGTATTACTGATAACATACATATAAAAAATAGAATCAGAGAAACTAAGAGACTTGCCAGAGGTCACACAGTTTGGGACAGGCCAAAACTCATGGTCTTTCCAATATGTGGCAGCACTTTCTTATTATATACTAAATAATTCCAATGTACTAATTTAATGAGTCACATATTTATCAATTTTTATAACAGAAAGACTTTCTGAGCCAACCTTTTTATTGGAAATATGTAAAAGTGAGGTCTAGTGATATGAAATTGCCTAAATTTGCACCACTCATTAGTGGCAGACCCAGGACTGAAAAAATGGTTTCAGGGATAATTTCAACATTTTAGGTTCATATAATGAGGCTGCCACTCACTGACTATAAAACTTAGGGCAAGTGGCTTAACCTCTGTTTACCTCAGAATCCTATAATGTAAATGGGCACAATAATAGTACCTATTTCATAGGGCTGCTGTGAGGATTTAATTGAGATAATCCATGGGAAACTCTTATAACAGCAAGTGCTTTATAAATGTTAGGTATTAACCACTTGGGTGGTTCTTCCTCTTATACAAATAAATAACATTAAAGATGTGTTGGTTAGTGGTAACAGTCACACTCAGGGGAAAAAGGTAAAAGGTGAAAAGTGCTATGATGCAGTTAGAGGAATAGAAATAGTGAGAGAACTGGAAGAAATCATGGGAGAATGATGTGGAAAACCCAGTCTGAGGTCACAAACCCACTGTGTTAGGCTCTTCCTTTCCTGAAACATCCACTTTCTGAGAGAGAAAAATTAACATACCTGCATTGCAAAGCTGAAAAACAACACTGTAAACCTGATGTGGTGGTACATACCTGTAATCCCAGCAGTCTGAGGCAGGAAGATCACAAGTTTAACGCCAGCCTCAACAACTTAGCAAGGCCCTAAGCAGCTTAGCAAGACCTTACCCCAAAATTGAAAAATAAAAAGGAGTGAGGATGTGACTCAGTGACTAAGCACCCATAGGTTCAATCCTCCGTACCAAAAAAAAAAAAAAAAAAAAAAATAGGAGGAGGAGGAGAAGAAGAAGGAATACAACAGGCAAGCATTTTTTATTACTTAAATCCCACTTTCAAATAATTAGCTGATTCCTCTCTTCCCTAACTTAAATAAATAAATGTACAAATATGTATTCTACATACAATTTATGTAGATACAAAATATAACCATCAGTTTGTGCACTATCTTATCAACTGAAGGACCATCTTTTATAATAATCGTTTCTCCTATTAAACTCCATCCACTTGGTTTTCTGTAGAGGGAAGGATTCTCCATGGTTCTCATTAATCAGCCTCATCAAAATTGCATTTACACATTGAAATCTTGCCAGTTTAGCTTTTAGTAGCAGTTAGATAAGGCAGGGTTTTAGTAACAAGATTGCACCAGCTTACAGGAACAGAGGTCCCTGTCTCACTCATGCCTCATGTCATGATAGATTGACTGCAGCTCTGAACCTTCTCTCATTCTGTGACTAGCCTGAAAGAGCAACTTTCTTCTAAAACACCGTGAGCATCACAGCAGAGAAACGAAAAATGGCAAAACAAGAACCAGCTCTCAATAGTCTGCTTAGGGCAAGATATATACCATTTTTGTTGACCTTCCTTGGTCAAAGCAAGTCACATGACCAAGTCTGTCCTTAGTAAGAATAGGAAGTAGATAGAGATATTGATCAAGGAATACAATCTCTCATGCATTCTCTTGCTATCCTTATTGCTTCCTTTTATTTTCTCCTACTGAGTTCTGTAGATTCTATCTTTCTAAGGCAAATTGTCTTTTACATACTTTCTGCTTATTTTGTGATGAGTTTTGTAAAGTTTGTTACGAAACACAGTGTTACTGCCCCAAAGCAGATACACATTACTTACAAAAACCAGGTGCTTTGTTTTGTTTTTGTTTGGTTTTTGCCAAATTCAGTAGATGAATTTATTCTAAAGCAAAATCTCATGAATTTTATATTGTTTCTCTACTCCCTATTAGACTAGTGTCTATATTTTCTAATATGCAAAGGCTTTCAGCTCATGGGACTTAGTATTTGTATGCATTATATATTTTGTATTTTCATAAAGATTTTCTAATCAAATGATTGAATGAAACTGAGTGCATCTCCTAGAAGAAAAACAATGGCCTTGAATCCCAGCTCTAGCACCAAACTGTACTGTAATTCATGATGTCATTTTTAATGGAATTGGTGAGACTGGAGAGTGTTCATTATTTAATGACTGTAATGGGCTCTGAAAGCATTCTGCTTCCATGTGACTGCAATGCCAAGCCACCAAAATCAAGGGGAAAGAAAAATTACCTAATTACCTTGGAAGTCATTCTCTCCATGAGTCAGGGAAAAACTAACTTCTGCGTAAATTTCCTCACATTCAGTTTCCAAAATCATATTAACCAACTTGAGTTTGTATTTTTACTCACATTACCTCAAATCGCCTCAACTCATTCATTGCTCTAGCTCAGTGAAATGGAGCAGAATCAGATCTGAGGTAAGACAAACTACTTTCTTTAAGGAGCTCCAAAATGGATCATTTTACGAAAAGCCATTCATGGTAGTGTTCTCAACTCTTTCTCATTGCCATCCACTGTAGGAGTTTCCTGGAACCTGCTGTACTCTCCTGTGATGGATGAGTCCAGATCTTTTACCAGGAAATGTGGAAAATTATACTCATTTGCTTGAAAATAAATCTGCATGTAGTTTCATGCTTGGGACATAGAGAAGCAGTTATGT